TGTATGTACGTGCCTCTCGCAACTGCTTCTCGCGTGTGCATACGCGAACACACGCACGAAGATCTTTACTCTCTTCCTTCTGCATCGATTAACATTGCGCTGTACAGAGTGATTCATAAGTGCACGCTAATATTTCAGAAGGTTAAAGTAAACAGAAGAACGTGTGCGTACGTAGTTGTGGGTGATTATAAAGGTACTGTTCATACGTTACAATCTTATGGGGAATTTCTACTTCTTTCGTTGCTGAACCAATAACCAACTCGAACGAGATTGAGATTCAAGGCTGCTCGAAATTCTGTCGATCGATGCGTTCTCATCGTCGGACCAGGTTGCTAGGTTGTTTAATCTTCGGAGTAATATAAAATTTCATTCAATTACTCGATCCTCAAATCTCCAGTTCGAGTTTCGATTCAACTTAACAACAATGTTTATTATTAATCTCGATCAAGGAGAATGCAATGGAATTCGATTCATCAGCTTTTCTGAATCATTGATGAAGCATTTACGAATCGTGAAGCTTGCAAATCGTATACACGGAGTTTAGGTGGAAGAGCGTCTTCCTTTCTTTCCACCGGGCCCGTGATCGGTATTTTTCAGCGTATACGACCGATACGTTCTCCATTGCGTCGAATGATGCAGTTAGATCGATGCAGCCTGCACACTCGGCCCGGTCGGGCACAAGCTATTTATGTGCCCGGTGCTTCTGAATCTTTTAGCGTGTGACGCAGTTCGGCGACTATCTGGTGCACGATAATCGATCCCATCGTTCGCCGAGATGAGATCTGCTGATCGGTGAACTTGTTCGGTAGGCACGCGTGGACGTACCGCATTTCAGGTGGTCGGTGTCACGTTTCCCTGGCGCTCGAACGTACACCGCGTACATACTTCACCCACCTAGCAGGGAAAGAGAGGGTTTTTCATTTTTCCAGCAGGCGAGAGCTACGAGGGATCGTTTTTCTGCCGCTCTAATGGCTTCCAGTCTCGTGCCGGTTTAATGAAAAACGTCGAGTTATACGTATATGTGCCTTTTAAACCGTAATACGAGCGCGACTTTGCGTATCGTTGCGTGGAAACGTCGCAGCTCAGACACGCCGGCTTCAACTGTTACAATCGGGGGAAATGTTCCTGCCACGGGAAACAGTTGACGTCGCCTATTCGTGCAACTTCTTCAGGGAAATTCTGACATTTCTCAGAAGTGCATTTTCTAATTTCCCCTCGACTACTTTCACGGTCGGTGTTTTCAAGTATCTTTGGAGTGTTTTGTAAACTTGCAATTTTCTTTCGACATTTTTTTCCCCGAGTTTCCATTGAACAATGTTCCGGAAACAACGTTTTCCTTTTTACCTTTTTTTTCTTTTCGACTCTTCTACGATCAAAATCCTCCGGGTGATACTCTTGAAACTCTTAGCGAAAATTGGAAATATTTTCCACGAGTCGCAACATATTTTAGAGATACGTCTTGCAAATTGCTTTTTTCTTTTCGATTCTCCTACGATCAAAATCCCCGGGCGATACTCTTGGAACTCTTAGCGAAAATTGCAACGCATTTTGCAAAAGCGTTGTCCAATTTCGTCACGCGACAGTGAAGAGACATTTTATCAAAACGTGTCAGAAGCTCAAGTGAGAGAACAGATGGCAAAATGTATCCCGAGAAAGATTGTCCAGCGGGCAATTTTCCGTCTCTCTCTCTCTCTCTCGGCGAATCGAAAGCTTTCCTTTTTAGCCGTTGTTGCCGCGCGGTCCGAGATACTCGAGACGACAGGATATATTCAGCCGCGGATCTGGGTTAAGCGAGGATCATCCAAGTCACGCTCCTTATAACTTTGGATTGAAACATCCCGCCTCGAAACTTGATCGATTTCATGGTTTGTACACCGAGGTGAGACATCTTGAATCTCGAAGTGGCTGCAGATTCCCTAAGTCGACATCTCCTCGCTCGATAACAACAAGAACATCTCGGCGCACTCTCCAAATTAAAACACGTCCAGATTAATTCTCGCTTGTTCGAGTGCTCGAAATTCTTCGATAATCCGCTTTGGAATTACGCGTTCAGTAATTTACAAATACGCTGCAGATTGTTTGTAAACGAGCCACGAATGAAGTTGTGTCAGAAAAGAGAGAGAGAGAGAGAG